TTTGATTTCAAACTTTTATAAAATTTATAGTTTGAGTTTGGTTTGATTTGGGGTTTGATCAAACTCAAATCAAACCCAGATCAAACAACGGAACCCTACACCACAGCTTGATCTATGCACTCGGGGTCAGGGCTAACCATTAAACCCCTTATCTAATTAGTATCAATTATACTGCCGTAATCAAGTTCGTATCTCAAGCCACCCCTAAGGATGCTGCCGCTACCCAATCTGACAAGCCACAACCTTCCTAATTAGACTGTTACCTACTTTTGCCCTTGTATAGATTCACAACAACCCTGGTACCCACATTTAGACTATCTTCTTACTCGGATTCTTTATCGGTTCCTTTTTTACTTCCAGCTGGCAACTCGGAAAGGTCAGTCTGCCTAGGATTTAGGTGCTTGAAGGACGCCCTCCCCTTGGTACATATTTTCAGAGCATATATCCTTTTTCTTCAGTGCGACAACCTGGTAGTTCGGCTGGTGTATCCTCCGCTATTAAGACCTGGTCGCTCGGTTCTCTGATTTCGAGCCCTGGTTCGAATTCAGCCCTCTTGTGATACCATTATAGATCACTGCTATTCCTAACTCGGAACTTCCCAAATGTGTTTTCAGTTATGCTGGTTTCTCAGATTTATTGCGCCATTGCTCCCATTACTAGATAGTGTAACCAAAGTTACAAATTAGATCCAACCGATAGACATAGCCATTAACCGAATACAAGCCTAATTTTCGAAAATTGTCATCCATGGGATTCAAACTCTAGACCTGCCACTTGGAGAAAGTGACAACACTAAGCTACCACACCTCATTTTTAAATTTTATTATAAGTAAAAATTTGTATTAGAGTTTAATAATTTTTAATAATTTTTAATTTTTAAATTCATTTCTAAGTTAATAAATATAAATTTTATCAAAAAGATACACTTTTAAAATTACAAGTAGATTAAATAGATATATATTTATTTATTATAAAAATTTAATATAAGGTTAATAATAAAATTTTTTCTAAATTCCATTTTTTTAACTGTACTAAATTAAGCTTTTTGTACTAAATTTAGTACAGCTTACGGATACCCATTAAAGATATTTTAGCCAAATTTAATAATTATTATTATTTTTATTTGAATTTTATATATTTATAAAATTTAATTGCTAATTGTTTTGTTCAAATTTGAAAAAGATATTTTGGTATTTTCAAACTGAGCAAAAAAATTCAAATAAAAAAAATTTATTAAATTTGGTCCGATAATATCTTCGAAACTTAATTATTAAAATTAGCGCTATAATATCAATTCGTTTAAAATTTTGTTTATAAACAATACTTTTAACTCTAGCACGTAAAATTATATATATATATATTTATATACTGTATAATAAATTTTTTTATTCTTAATTTTGTGTTTATTTTTATAAAACATTGTTAGCTAATAATTAGCGAATAATTAGTAGCTAATTAATAACAACTTAATAAATAAAAAAAATACAGTATTATAATTATACATTAATTGTATTTTTATTATATAATAATTATATTATGAACATGTTTGTAAATCTATGAGTTTCTGTAAAGTCCTTTAAAGTAAAAATAGTTTCTAGAGATTAGAGCAGGTTAGGAGCTAATAAATCCTATTTCCCATATATTTCTTTATAACTTATAAAGTCTATAATGCAAATTTTATTTGAGTTTGACACTAATGGTCGAAATGGGACATACGCTCGGGTTTTATTTATGAACCCAAATAAAGTAGAAATCCCAATTTCTAAACTCAAACCATAATTTCATAATTCAAAAAAAAAAGTTTGGGCCGCAACCCTAAACTTTTCAATGTTTATTCTAGTATAATGGATTTATTGTCCAATCACATACTATTTCTACCTCTTCCTCTTCATATTCCTCCCATCTATCGTTATCACTGGGAGGATCTTTATCATTAGGTGGTGTCGACGTACTTGGGTTTGCTTCTTGAGTACGATAGGGAGATTTAAATTCATTATTAGTAGTCGCATCATTATTCGTATCTGGAGAAGGCAATGGATCCAATAGCAAAGATATTTGATGAGACGAAGTTTCTGGCATCTCTGGTGGTTGTGGTAAATGCATCTGAGTAGAGGCTACCAATGCTAATGAATCTAAAGCTGCTGGATGAACTTCAGAAGTAGATGATATTATATCAGTTCTAACAGTTTCGACACTAGGAGATATTATGTCAGCTCTAACAGTCTCTAAGTTAGGTTGAGGCATTTGTGCCTCGTTCTGTGGAACAGATTGTGTTGGCGGAACAGAATCGTCGTCATCATCATCATCATCTAATACTATTAATGTAACAGAAGATTCCTTAGTAGAAGGATCACGTCTTTTTACGTTCGAATTCTCATCATCTGAAGAATCGATGTCATCATCCTGCTCTACAATACTCCATGTTCCATCAGAATCGACTGCAATTTTCGAGACATTACTAAATATTAACATTATCCAGTATTAATGATTTTTTATATAACAAATAAAGATCAAATTTTTATTAAAAATGAAAAATATTTACGATGAGAATTTTTCGAGTAACTTAATAAAATAATCATCGACACGTAATGTCTCTGACGTCACAATACCACTATGTACAAGAAAAAGGCACATAAGTAACAATAAGTAACATTGATGGTTTATACAAATGTATGATTATCCAAGCATCACACTTACTTGCACATTGGGCATGTCCATTTTGTATGAACCATATTGACTTGAACATAAGTTTCAAGATCAAAACACTGCCAATAGAGTAAAACATTGCAAAAATGATTAATGCTACACGAAGTTGAAAGCATTTCTTGAAAGCAAACAAAAACGATACTAACCCCTATATGTACACAATAAAGACCTTTGGCAGGCTCTTTAATTCGTACCATACTAAGTGGACATTTAAGACTTACTGTCATTTTGTAAGCTGTGACATCATCGTCATCATCAATTGTCGTTATTGCATGGCCAGGATTACAATGTAAATTTTCATTTATCACAATAGGGTTGGTATGTATTATGTCATGAGAGCCATTGGAATCGCTAGGACGGGATTGTTTCACCTTGGCTAAACCATTAACCAATAAATTACACACGAAATGAAATTTTATTACATCACATAATTAAAAACACTTACCAATAGATAATCCATGTTCGAACGTCAGTCTTTGAAGTCTGGCTAAGCGTAATACGAACTCTTGACTCTCCCATGCGAAAACTTGAATTGATATTTCACGTTCCTATTTCGAAGAAAAAAAGGATGACATTAATATTTAAGTTATATGTTATTAATCTTAAGGATGATACTTGCATTTGAATTTCGCATACACCAAACACACAAGCATTGACTTATTGTAATTGTATTCCACCCCACACTTATATATCTAGACACGTCTACTGGACGATCAACTCCTTGATATTGCTCCACACCATTATGCATTATTCGTTGTTTCTATAATAGAATAGAAATAACATTAAAAAAATTATAGTTTAACCAAACGCATACATATTAACATATGAACAAACTTACACGCTCCAGTTTGACAGCGTTATTATTAATAGTCACACTAAAGCTGACTTCCTCTGGTGACCAGTCACACTTATCACTTTTAGGATCAATATCAATATTTTTAGTCCTTCGTGATATAAGACGATAAGTGAGAGGTAACTGTGATGGCGTAGAATTAATTGGCAACTTTGGAGTTTCTGACCTGTAAAAATACATCAGCTTTTTCACTTAAATTCTCTCTAAAAATAAGAATAATAAAGTACACAAACGCTTGGAGATTGGACCCGACGAAAAAAATCTGCATGGGTAAGAAGGGTAGAGAATAAGTCTATTAAAAAAATAAAAAAATAAAATAAAAAAATAAAAATAAAAACTACATCAAATAATTCAATGCAGGTTGATATTTTTACTCATTATATTCAACCCAGAAGCATTCTAGATGCATCTAATTTTGATAGATTCGGTCAAAACGCCTTTCATGGAAAATACATAGAAATCCTACCGGGTCCAATCCCTACAAACGTTAGTCTGGAAGATACAAGATAATCAAATTACCTCCATATTCGATTAAATGTTTCCTGGGAAATATATATTGATTCTTTTGCAAGTGGATATACCGATAAATGTGGAAATGACTGCTGTACCACTGATTGAACGTAATATGGGGAAATTCCGTAGCTCCAAGCATGATCAATTAATCTACCAGCCCATTTTGAACGATCTATTCGTTCGGTATTACTACTTGTATTACGTCGTTGTGGTATTGGTTGGGCCACTGGTAATGAAGGCTGTGACTGAGTTGCACGTAACTGTACAGGTCGCGTTGGACAATTACTAATCCGTGATGTACCATGACTTCCGATAATTGCAGAAGTATTATCAGAAACTGCTATTGGCTGTTTATCGCTACGTGAAGCACTTCGTTGAGGAGGGTAATATATTTGATTTTGATTAAGTTCATTAAGCCACTTCCGCAACTGTCCCTGCATCTGCACTAAAACGGTAATTAAATAACGTGTGAACTACATCTTACTGAAAATTAAATTATCAGAGGAAATTGCAAAAAGCTACCTTGATATTCTGAAAAGAGATGAATATTATCAACAACTATCTGAAATAATTCTCTCGAAGATTTTATACCATCATCTCTACAACATTCTCGTATTAGCTATAGAGTTTACCGAGTTAGGTAGATAAATAAATTTAGATAATAGAAATAAATGAATTATTTTAGGAACAAAAAATGAAAATAAAACCTGAAAACACTGAAAAAGTCTATGCTGAATGTCAGATGTAATTTCTCGTGCGTATTTTTTCATATCCTTTATATAATTTATGATATCATCACACATACTACACAACGTAATTTGATCGGTTTCATTCAATGAATTTAATCTATCTAATACTTTATCTATTTCCATGAGATTTTGACTAAACTGTTGTGTCTGATTAATAGACATTCTAGGATCTGGGGTAATAGAATTAAAAGTGGGAGATAGGTCTGATTGTAATGGATTATTAATTGTTGGCTCAATTGGTTGAGCGATATAAAAAGGTTGTGACAACACCCAATAGTTTTGTTGTGACATTGAATTATGATCAGTAGACTGTGGTTGTATTGCATGAATAGGTCGTTGTTGACCTTGCGCCGAAGCCATCATAGCCATTTGCTGTCTTGAAAATATATCCTGATTTAGCGGATTAATATCCTGCGTCGCAAATTGACCGTTAGATAGCATTTGGTTGGTATGACCAAGATTGTTCTGAAAATACCAATTCTGGTTTTCAATTCCATTAATATTATTATAAGTCTGACGCTGAGGATTGATATTCTGCGACAAACTCATCTTACTCGAGCTAGGCACTAAGGAATAAGAATAAAAATAAAATCGAAACTTTTAATAAATAAATGTATATAGTATAATCCAGTAAATAAGTAAACACATACATGTAATGATATTACTCTTGCAAGATTTTGAACTTTGACCGTATATACTGTGATTCGAATCGATAGATAATGATCGCGTATTATTAAGTATTGCCGGATTATTCTTATAAGATCACGACAAGTTATTAAAACGTGAAGAACAAATATCGCACAACAAGATATTGAAAAAAAAAACCATTCATAACATACCACAGTGGTATCAAATGTCAAGGATTGTGAAGTATTGTTTTGCGTTGGTATCGAGTTATGTTGATAATTGCAGCTTGGATAGCCGGGGGTTTGCATGTCTCGAATTTGTGTTTGACCATAAACCTGATCCGACCCTCGCGAAACGGGAATAAAGTCATTAGATAATTGATCCGGTAATGTATTTTTTCTCCTTCGTTTATTTGATCCGGATTGGTGAGTATATGTATTTGTCCCAGTTTGGCTTGGAACGTAATGAACGTTAGAGTCTGATGTTGTATCGTAGCCATAATTTCGTTGTGTATTGTCGTTATTCATATTCATTTGAAATTATATTTGAACTTATTATGTTGAAACCTTTTTTTTGAAATAATAATAACAATAAGATCAATAATGAAACATTTTTAACACTGATAAGTTTTGTATTTAAATAATGCTGCCAAAATGAGAGCTAATTTGAAAAGTAATTCAAAGATCAATGTAATATGAATGGTAAGGTTATCTATGCATTAATAGGAGGCCAGACATTGTAGAGCATCATTCATATGATGACTCACCTCCCTTTAATACTTCGTCGGTTAAAAGAAAAGAAATGAAAAAAATCATGACCACCTGACTAACAGAAACTTAAATCAATCTTAAAATATGCGAACTACGCGACTTCCAAGGAATAACGTCACGTAAAGCGTATTTACCTTGAAATTTTGTGGGCACGTTCTTTTGACGAAAGTGCAAAAAGTTCTTTAAATCTTGAGTTATATTGTGTAAAACGACTAAAGATAAAGAAGGTTAAAGGTAAAGGTGGTAAAAATGGTGAATTAAAAGGTGATCTCTGAGGTGTTATGCGTATTATAATACAATCTACTTGTCTAAAAAAAAAGAGTGCACAAAAGTTACATACATAATAAAATTGTTATTAGTTGAGGTAAAAATTTGCCTCTCCTAAGTTTTCTAAGTGATTTTTTGAGAAAAAACAGAAGCGTTAAAGGCGATTTCTTTATTCTTCTCCGTTTTTCTTTACAGTACAGTACAGTCTGAAATGATAATATAAAAAGTACTATCGTGTAATATTGTGCGACAGTTGTACAACCGGTCGGCGATATTGTGTTACCAATAAAGTCGTACAAAGGTGGTACATATGATCATAAGGTCTATATGACATAATCAATAGAGCAAATCTTTGACTTATTCGTAGTTTTAGCTCCTATTTTTGATGAGGCCTGAAGGTTAGACAAATTTGTCGATGATCGCCATCCTTAATCGTTTATATTGACGGTTATTAGATGGCGCAGTATTTCATAATCGCATGCATTTATAGCTCGTAACCGTCGTAAGCCACTTTTATATAAAATATATAAAATATTTGATATTATTGGCATTCAAATTTCTTATTTATTATCCTTATGCCTAAATACTGTGGAAATGGCAACAAAAAAAAAAATAATAATAATAAATAAATAAATAAAATAAATAAAAAAACAATCAAGTAACCGCGAAATAGAATTAATTAGTCCGTTTTTTATTCTTAATCAATTTTGCTTTTTATTCTTTTTATTAAATAAGCTATTTATAGTCCATATCAATCGGATAACCCAATCCCGTCCTATTGCATATTGCATAAAAAAACCGCTGTGAAACCTACCGATAATCATTCTTAAATGTAATTTAAAAAAAGTACAATAACGTTATAAAAATCGTATAATTATTAATATACAGTATATATACAGTTTTGCCTCTTTTTAAGTGTACGCTTTATAATGCACCTGCGCCTTAATTCCAACCACTAATAACTCGTAAAATTTTTCTAAATGCATACAGTATATCTCTCTCTTTAATGCATACTTATAGTCAGTCCTGATTGGGATGGTCTAACTATATATGCACAATTATAAACTTTATTTAAAAATAAAACAATTCCGCACCGCCAACCAATCAAATATAAAATTAGGTGTAATTCAAAATTTTGTTTAAATTATTTTTCAATAAAATTTTTATACTGTGTTTAGTTACTATACTACAGTATATATACAATAAAAAAGTAGTTATAATATATAGTAAGTCAAATTTAACAAATTTTAACTTGTAATACTGTATGTTAATACAGTATTATATAAGTATGGGTATTATGGCGCGCCTGCAATATCTCAGGATCCAGTGATCAGGATCGAACTATTTTACCACCATTCGAATCGTCTCAATGAGATGAATCAGGACGGTAGTAAAATAACTTTATTCTGATCAAGATATTGCAGGTGCGCCATAATACCTCTTTACGTAGCTTTTGTATCATTTGAATGCTATCATCTTGTGATCCTGTGACTATGTGACTAGAATCGAACAACTTTGGTACCATTCATTTTGTCTTGATGAGACGAATCGAACGGTACCAGAATCATTCAATTTGGACTAATGACACATGTGTTACGATAAATTTTTGCTTAACTATACCATAATATCCCTTTCTACTTACTGAATACTGCAGTATTTATACTTGTAGAGTACAGTATAAAGTATTTAAAAAAAATAAAAAAGAACTAGAATTCTATAGTATTGCTAATGTTTGTATTTAGTTAATAATATTTACAGTATTATCTGTTATATCTGTTAGCTTAATAAAAAACTTTCTTTTATACGTATTAAAAAATATATTGCTCATTAGACTATATATATTATAAAATTTTAGATAGATTAATATGTATAATTTTAAGAAAATACGTATAATTCAAAATATAAAGAAATTGTATTTTCTTGAGGTTTACATCTTATTCGTTCTAAAATTATGCAAATAATTCTATAAATAGTACATTTTAACAAAAAAAAAAAAATTAAAATTAAGCATTTTATTATTAACGACATGTGATTATCAGTGTTGACCGATGACCCAAGCCATATCATTTTTTTTTAATCATATGACTTTGGACATATCATATTGGTCATACAGTATTAAATGCTATTAAAAATTTTTTTTACTACTGTACTATATATAATTCTTACTATATACTGTATATTAAAAAGATCATAGAGTCATATCAACCTTCTAATAGGTCATAAAAGACCTACAGTATACTGTAGGCTATTTAGGGTCATCGTTGAGTGATTATCGCATACGTTACATCGACTATCGCTACTATCTTTACATCCTAATAGCATAGCCGGCTAAGCCAATTTCCGACAAGTTTAAGTCCACTATATGATACAGTATAATCAATTTAAAGGATTTCTATTTGTACCCAGTGAGTAATACTCAGTATATGAAAAATTTTACTATCGCTATGAAAACTAATCTAAAGGTCGTAAGAAAAATACTTTATTTTTATATATATAAATTTACTTGTTGGCAAAACTCATGGAATTTGGGTTTGGTACATGGACAGACCCGAACAAATGGGATTGTTCAGCCACGGTCATGTCTAAAAATCCCATATGGCAGAAATCCAATCCCAGACTCTGGACAAATCCCGCCCCAAATTCACGTGATGATTAGAAAATTATCGTTATAGTTTGAAAGTTCGATGCAGGTTTCCATTGACGGCACTCATATAAGTACTTGCATAATTCGATTTGAATATACATTACTGATAACCCTGGTGATATCGACGCTCTACAATAAAAATATTGGGCAGTTGGACATATATGTATAATTGGGGTTTGGGTCAAACTCCCAAAAATAAGAATCCCGACAGGGTCAAAATTCCTAAAAAATTGGCCAACATTAAGCTAATCCTGGCTAATTTTGTTGGGATTTTGACCCTGTCAGG